TAGGCAGATTATTGGCATGATATCTTGTTAGCTAGTTGGAGGTGGACATACAAGTAGTTTAGATATAAACACACATAGTTAGATATAGACAAACATATAGGTTATTGACAGGTTGTGTTGTTAGATTATTGGCAGCCTAACTTGCTTGCTAGATAGATACGGACATACTGGTAGATTATACAGGCCCGCGATGGTTTTACTGTCTTGAAATTTTTACATGTTCTACGGTAATTTCTGTATGCTGAATCCGAAAATGATATCCATTTTTCTCCATCACGTACAGATTTTTCACAAAACATCATAACGCAATACATAAAAGAAAGACCACAACACGTAATTTTGAGACTAAAAAAACGCAGATTTAACAACAAAAATCAGGATGAATGAGGATGCATATTCGTTCTTCCCATTTTTTCAGTTTGTTCGTATTTTTGTTAACAAACATAGTAATAAAAAATGTTGATTGGGGGAAATTAAATAATAATTTGATCTAAATAAGAGATTTTTTTTCTTTCCCGATTTGTAAAAAAACCTTGCTTGGTAGAAAAAAGAAAGAATATTATTTTCGAAATCTGCGTAGCTGAATTATGGAAAATCCATTATTGAAACCAAAACAACTTTTATGAAGTTTAAATTCGCAAGCCTGTGTTGCTATATTACTGGTAGTTTGTTTTGTTTTTGAATTTCGCGCAAAGCTACACGAGGGCTATCTGCGCTAGCCGTCCCTAATTTAGCAGTGTAAGACTAGAGGGAAGGCAGCTAGTCATCACCACCCACCGCCAACTCTTGGGCTACTCTTTTTACTAACGAATAGTGGGATTGACCGTCACATTATAACGCCCCCACGGCTGAAAGGACGAGCATGTTTGGTGGGACGAGGATTCGAACCCGCGACCTTCTGATTGCGAGTCGAGCACCGTAACCACCTGGCCATGCCGGGCCTACTGGTAGTTTGGCTTTTTAACTAGTTAGATATGCACATTCAGGTATGTTATTGATAGGTTGTATTTGATTGAATGACGAAATTCTAAAAATAAAAATAAAATAAAAAATATGAACCAAAGAAGTCAACTATCAAGAGGACATAAATATAAGAAAGCGGATAATCCAATCAGATGTATGTTTAGGTAAATAAAGGTTAAGTATCTGAACAAGAAATGCATAGAAACTGAGGAACACTTAGCAACATGCAACATACGTGAAACACATACAATAATAAAATACTTGAATAGCAAACTAAAGAAGTTGAATAAGAAACTTACCTTAACTTCCAGCAGAACTATCAAAAGTAAGATCGACCAAATGTGTTTTTTTTTTAAATTAAGAATGTTAAAGAACGGTAGACTGAATATGTGAGAAAATTGTATAACGATCTTAGGGAAGAGTAACCAGCCCTAACTGTGGTAGAACCAATTAAAGCGGCCTAAAAAGTCTAGAAAAGAAGGCACAGGAAGTCATTAGAAGCTCAAAGAATGGAAAAGCTTGAGGCAAAGGCAAGGTTCCAACAGAATGTTTAAAGGAAATGAACATTTTAGGGATTAAATATGTGAGTGCAGTTTAAAACTCAATTCATAGAGGAAGAACAAAGCCAACGGATTTTAGAAGATCTGGTTTTTGTGACGATCCCCAAGAAACCTAAGGCTATGTCGTGTGGCCAATACAGGACTATTAGCTTGATCAGTCACACTTCAAAAGCAATCCTCAGTAGAATAGAACATAAGGCTTAGAATGAGCTTTCAGAAGATCAAAATGGTTTTATAAGAGGTCATGACACGAGAAAGAGCATATTCGACCTTAGAATGTTAGTTGGAAAAGCCCCAGAAGTGCAATTTTTTTATGTAGTATCCGTAGACTTTGAAAAAGCTTTTGAGAGGGTTTACTATGAGAATTTCATAGAGGTCCTGCATCAGGTTGATGCAGCTCAATCATATATCAGAATCCTCAATAACTTATACTTCAACCATGAAGCAGAAGTTCGAATTGACAGAGAACTAAGAAGTTGGCCTGCGGTTAAGAGAGTTGTAAGACGAAGATGTATGCTTCCACTGACATTATATAATTTGAATACAGAATGGTTGATGAGAGGAGTAATTACTGCTACGGTTGTAACAAACTTAAGGGAAATATTATCTGTAATAATTGGTTCTCTTGATATAACGCTTATGGATGAATCCGAGGGAGAGATACAGCAGTTACTTGATAATCTTGTTGATAAAGAGAAAAAATATGGTCTCGGGATAACTGCCAACAAAGTAAGACCATTCTAAGAACTTACGAATAAAAGCAAGGCGAATATTTAATAATACGTTAACCACACTATATCCAGTATCGACGAGGCCTTTTGCTTAATACCAGAGCTCATTAGGCCTGTTGGGATACGACAAATAAAGTAGTGGTCTAGGCGCTATTCATATTATAAATCTAACGGACATCAAATATTCAATTCTTTAGCTGTCTTATACTCACCACTATGAACCTATATTTATATAGGATTTACGAATATTTAGCATTGATGCTACTAATTTCTTCTTCTAAATTACTCAGAAAACAAACTGTTTAAGATATAAAACTAGATGTGAAGCCTAATCTATTACCCAATATATTAAATAGCTTGTCTGCTAGATAGTTTAAAAAATAAATCAGTAGCATCAAAGCTACATACATTTCAAATCCCATATACATATAGGTTCACAGTGGTGAGTATAAGACAACTGAAAACATGCTTGTATAATATACAGTCCACCACTATAAGAAGATTAGTATTTTGTGTTCGATTTGAAGTTAAATATGTGGGGGTCACCCTCGATAAGCACATGACATGAGAGGCACATTTTGCAATAGTCAACTTCAAGGTCATACAACGATTCAACCTTTTGCGGTGTCTAATTGGAACTACATTGGATTTAAATATGCTTCTTCTCCTTAGTTTTTATAAGACTTTCAGTTTTGTTTGTATTACTTATGATCATACCTCATGGATATCTGACTTTTCTTTTAGCAAAAAAATGGTTCCAAAACGACATCACCTTCCTCTGGTCTTTAAAGTAAAGCTACCAAATCCAACCCAGGTATGATTGCGTCATATTTTCCAACATTTTTCATCATTTTCATAAGCGTCGTATCAGATATATCACATGCTGCCTCCAGACTCACAATGCCATCCTTGCTGAATTGGTACACTTTCCAGTTCATGATCTATGAAAACTGTTTCCTCTAGCTGAACATACTGTTAACATGTATGAAATGTCTCTTCCAGAGCTCGGCCTTTCAGCCGTGGGGGCGTTATAATGTGACGGTCAATCCCACTATTCGTTGGTAAAAGAGTCGCCCAAGAGTTGGGGTTGGGTGGTGATGATTAGCTGCCTTCCCTCTTGTCTTACACTGCTAAATTAGGGACGGCTAGCGCAGATAGCCCTCGTGTAGCTTTGCACGAAATTTAAAAACAAAAACCAAACAAACTCTTCCAGAGAGTGATCGTAAACATATTGATATTGCTTTCCCCCATGAAAAACCTGTCCCCGTATTTTAATCTTACCTGAAGATCATTTTCTTTCCTTAGGTTTCACTTACCTTCACAACTGTTTAAGTAAAGTACACCTACTGAGCATCACTTCATACCATTCAGCAACAGTTTCGGAATCCTTTTCAGTACTGCAAAATTCGCACTTACTCATTCATTATCCACAGCCACTATACTTCAAAGTTTTACCTCACAAAAGAAGAGAAGTTGTAACACTCTGGTGGTCCACCACTCATATGGACTGAAATGAAATGACAGAGGAAAAAATAAGTTCGATTTGCCCTTGTTTAGGCTACTTATTGTAACCAGTATAATACAATTACAAGTGGTGAATCGAATGATAGATTGGACTTCATATTTATTTCCAGTATCTAACGACAATGGTAATTTCATTATCTAAGGAAACACCCGGATTATGTAGAAGGTAAAATGGTTGAAAAAACAGTAGAGAAGTTTATGTAATGACTAATATCAGTAGTTATGTAAGAATGGAAAACAAATAAATCGAAGGACATGAATGGCAAAAACAGAACTCCCCAATTTCAAGTAATTACTCAGTAGAGACGATAAACTAGAAATGAAGAATAGACTATTAAAATGTTATGTTTTGTAGTCCTACTCTTGGAAATTGAAACATGGACCGTTTCTGCTGTGATAAAATGACAGTTCAAAGCATTTAAAATGTGTTGTTATAGAAAGAAAACCTAATGAAGAAATGTTGGAACATGCAAAGACAAAACGAAAACTTTTGGATATATGTGGCAAACGGAAAATGCGCCTCCTTGAGCATACAATTAGATCTCAGGGAAGGTTGAAAGAGATTCGAAGGAAGAAGAAAGTAGGCAGAGACCGTTTTTGTTCGAGTAGGCTAGAAAATGAATTGAACATGAGAAACTTGAATTAAAGAAATTGTTGCGGACATTGAAGAATAGAAAACAATGGGGGAACAATGGTCGTTGGTCATCAGAACTGGCTATTTATATATAATATATCTCATTCATAGATTAGGCTGTTAGCTATTTATATATGATATATCTCATTCATAGATTAGGTTTTTTGCTACTTATATATGATGTAGCTCATTCATAGATTAGGCTGTTAGCTATTTATATATGATATATCTCATTCATAGATTAGGTTGTTAGTTATTTATATGTGATATAATTCATTCATATATAAGGTTGTTAGCTACTGATATATGGATATCCAGACAGATTATTTGCCAGCTCACTTATTAACTATTTAGGTGTTAGCCTATACATAGACTTTGTTGCTAGATTATTGAAAGGCTAGCTTGTTAAGTTAAATATGAACATACCAGTAGAATATTGGCAGGCTAGGGTGTTAGCTACTTGGATATGGGAATACAGCTACATTATTTGCAGACTAGATTATTAGCTAGTTAGATATGATATAACTTATTCATAGATTAGGTTGTTAGCTATTTATTTATGATATAACTCATTCATAGATTAAGTTGTTAGCTATTTGCAGACTATATATTGTTGGCAGTGGGTGGTGATCACTAGCTTCCTTCCTTCTAGTCTTTCACTGCTAAATTAGGAACGGTTAGCACAGATAGACCTTGGGTAGCTTTGCGCGAAATTTAAAAACAAACGAAAAAACAAAACCTATTAATAAGTATATACCTTTATCTATAAGCCTATATATGTATCTTTTACTCAATTTTGCAAATAAAACGTTAAATTCCTTAATATTTGTCTAGTATCAATCCTTTCATCCATCTAGCTGTCTGTCATTGCATAGTCTCATTACCCTCGACTTGCGAGGGTATTGCAATCGGGTCCGCGCGCGCGCGCGAGTGTGTATGTCTGTGTTTCCACGCGCGTATCTCGAAACTAATAAATCGATGTACATGAAAATTTTACACAAGATGGGAAGTCAATATAGAACAGTCCTTCCCAAATTTAGTCCAAATTCATATCCGGATTCTGGATCACTTTGAAGTATCTTTGATAATGGGGGAGATAGGGCATTTTCGCCGTTTTTAGTTAATAACTCTGTAAAGTGCGATCAGATTTGTATCAAATTTCATGGGCACATTAGAGATGAGACTTCTCATCACACTACAAAAAAAAAAAAATGATCCGGATCGCAGATCATTCTGGATCTGAGAAGAATTTTCTGAGTTCTCGAAGGTGAAATTTTTTGTTATCCAATATAAATGCATGCAATCTCGAAAAGGAACGTCGGGGCGAGGATATGCATCTCTCTGATTGCTCTTTTTACATATTTATTTATCCACATATGTATTGTAGATTTCCATATACTAGCAGAAGTACCCGCCCTCCTGCGAAAAGCTATTGGGCCTGAGGCATTTTCTGGAATTTTGTAACAGTTCTACAACAATGTACTCATACTTGACATTCAATAATGTTCACTATCCATGGGAAAAAGGATTTTATTGGCATTTTAGTTTAAAAATGAGCTATCATCACAGCATTAGATCACAGAGTAGATTTTATTGAAGTATTTCTATGTAGACGCAGTTATCTATGAAAGTGACTTGCTTTTCTGTTGCAACACTCGTCAGATTTTCACTAAAGAAAAACAAATAATTTTTTTAAAGTTTGTTTTTTGATTGTTTTATATTTGAAACTTACTCCTTTTTTGTAAATTTTTATTGGTTAAATCTGAAAATTACTCATTCTTGTTTTTAATTTTTATTGGTTAAATCTAAAACATATAATTTTTGTGGAATTTCAGTTGTTTTATTTATTGGTCAGCTATAAAAATACTGCCTAGTTATAACAATATTACCCAATTATGATTGATGATGATCGGTGCTGTAGTTTCCGAGATCCGAATTTTGGACGTATGCATCGCAAGCTCCATTATATTAAGATATCTGTTTAATTGTATCTATTTCTTCCTTTCTATTTGTGTCCTTCACCTTTCTCCCACTTCACATTTATAATATTAAAATACTTCAAGCATCTACCGTTTCAATAACTCATCTGCTTCTCCATTTTCACCAATCTTGCATTTTTGTTTATTTAGTAGCGATTTTAATTTTTAGCGCAGATTGTTCATATCTTTCGGGTTATATATACATGTATTTATTATAACTAATGAGCAGCTAAAATAAGCACACATCTTGTATAAGGTTATTCTTAGTACAAAGCTGAACAATGAGTTATCTACGTTGTTCCTACTGCAGGAATCGAATCCCGAATTTTAGCGTCATTAGCATTCAAACTTATCGTTGAGCCACTCGGGGGCATTTTGTATGAAAAATGGAAATACAAACACATTCAGTTTAATATGAAAGTCGAAATATCACTGCTGAGTGAGAATTTCAATCTTCAGCTTATATTTAGTTATGAGATAGCTAGCTAGATATATTATAAGAGTTTATGTCTGTGTTCTTCGCATTGTTCTTTTATAAATGTACCGTAAATCACATTCCTATGTCATTAACATATCTAACAGTACAAGTATGTTGGTTCACACGTGCATTCGCAGCGTGTCGTAAGCTTACATGAATACAATGAAGAAACAAACAATAATACAGATTCAAATCAAATAAACACGTGCAAATTCATATTAATACATGACGATAAAAACATATATTTTAGTATATGACTATCTAACAAGCCAGCCTGCCAATAATCTACCTGTATGTTTGATCTAACACATTAGCTGCCTATATTCTACCTGCACGTTAACAACATTAGCTTACTTGTATGCCCATAGCTAACTATACGCGGGTATTTAGGTACATGC